TTAGAACATACCAAAGAAAATAATTCGATAATTACTATATATAAAAACGTGTGTAATTTATATATATATATATATATATATATATATATGTATATTAGAAATATATATATTTGTTAATATATTATTGAAGAAAATTTTCAAATATATAAATCATCAATATTATATTGATTTATTTAAACAAAAAAATCCATTTAACAAGAATAGAAATCGAATCGAAGTGCTTGCTAAACGTCGATGACTCTTTAATCTCGATTGAAGATGAAACAGAAAAGAAGAATAAAAGGAAGGCGAACAGGAGAAGAAGAAAAAGAAGAAGAAAGTAGAGGAGGAGGAAGAAGAGGAGGAAGAAGAGGAGGAGGAGGGCCATTTACCTGGTTTTAATCGGAGGAAAAAGCGTAATATCCTGAATGACGATCTTAATGGTTTCGAAGTTGAGAGGCGTGCTCACAGTTTGCTCGTCCACAAACACACGCTAACGTTTCAAGTGTGGGAAAGCCAAGTTGTGAATCGAGTCCCCATTCGTTGGGTTCTCAAGAGTTGCTTTGTTTTGCTTTGCCATACTCATAGTCCCTCGGCTATTTACCTCAGTGTGCTTGGTACAGTCTTGCCTATGCCAGGCCCTGGTTACACCAACCAACCAACCACCATCACTACTACTACCACCACCATCACAACTCCTGTTTGCTAGCCCTCATGGTTACTGCAGTTGCTGCTAGCCTTGCTCGTCTGCTTACCTATATACCTTTCTTCCTTCCTTCTAACTTGCTTTTCCTTACCTGACCATGAATTTGCACCTGAACGTGCAAACCTGAAAGATGTCGCGAGTTAGTTAAATTCATGAAATTCCAACATCGATACCGGTTTTTCTTCCCCCCCCCACCCCCACCCGATCTAATATTTTATCTTTTGTAATATGTTATTTCTGATATTTAACGATGCGTAATTATCATGTTTATAAGTTGAATCTATTTGTTTTTTTGTGGGTTGTGTCTATGTTATTATTTGATTATATTTTTTATTTTAATTAATTATTGTATGTAAAGAGCTAGAAGTATATATATATATATATACTTCATTGTTAAAATAGATGCGGGCTGTGAACTTAATCGTTTATCATTGTTATATATATATATATAGTTTGTAGTTAGCTTTCTATTAAAAATAATGATAATATATAGTAGACTATTAAAAGCGAAATAATTTGTTTGAAGTTGTAGATATTTTGTAAAAGTTTTGAGATTAAACCGCGCGTTTCAGTCTAGTTAGGATGGAAACCGTTTTGGAATATTTTAATTTCAAGGGAAATCACTGAGATAAAGAATTATGGAAATAGCGATCTGCAATTATGATAAACAGAGAACCCGTTGCTCCTGTAAATGGCATCGGTACCGCATATTAATTAAATGGTAAAATTGAAGTCATTGGTACTACCAATTAGATCATTAAAATGCATAGTTTGTGAATTCTCTCGATGTCCACCGTGAGAAATCTTACCGAGCATTGAATTTACTACCGTTAGATAGAACAACAAGAACAACAAGAACAACAGCAACAACAACAACAACAACAAAGGCAAGTGCAACGGTTTTTCTTGATCTTTAGCATGAAAGGGTGTTAGCAAGGATAATGAATAACATTAAACGAGATACGTAATATGCAAAACTGGAAAATTAATGGATGGATTATGCGAAAAATGTACCTATTCATAAATTAATAATAGGTAAACGGGATAAGGAAGGAAACGTGAGAGATGGAACACGGTGACCTACTAGCTAACTATAGTAAGATTAATTTATTTGAAGATGTGCATGTCATACGTGAGAATGCATATTACGTGTCACGTAGAATATATTTAGGACATTGTAACGAAACTTTAAATAAAATAAAATCAGAAATATATTTTTTTTATTGTAAAATGTTATATTCTATATAAATTAGAAATTCTAAACACGCGTGGATAAAACGTGAGGTCAATTGAAAAATAACGTATATGTATTCTACTAGATATATATATTTTTCGTTACGCGTTAAGCGTTGATGTCTCTCGAACGTTTTCCACGCATCGAAGTCTCCGTTAAACGCGAGCATCGAAGTCTCCGTTAACGCGAGCATCGAATTGTCTGTTATATTCTAACCGATTTTTCCAATGCGATCAAAATTATTATTATTTTCACAATCGATCTTTTTTAATATATTTTTTTATATATTTCTTCTCACGATATGTATTGTAGAATGACTCGTACCGAAATAAATGGAATTAGTTAAAATGTCGTAAAAACAGTTCCGTTTAAAATTGTACTATGTTATTGGTGGTAATACTTAAAACTAGTTTATTCAATCGTTCCGGTCGACTTTGTTTTTATTCGTAAAACATCATTTCAACGAGCAACAGTAAGAATTCTCTGTTTAATCGAACGACAGATCCGCGTGGCAAAGTATTTTTTTTTGTTTTTTTTTTGTTTTACTTTATATTACGATATATATATATATATATAATTATTACGTGTGTGATTCGTTAAATAACGCGGAAGTATTTTATTTATTATATTTCAAATAACGCGATGATTAGAATTTATCGCGAGCAAGGATATTTAATTTTTTTTAAATAGATTTAAACGTCGTTGAAAAATACGGTGTGCCCGAGAAGAAGAAAAAAAAGGAAAAAGAAAAATACACACACACACACATTCGATGTTATTAAGAAAATTAATATATATATATTTGTTTTTTTCATTTTGAGTTTCGAGTTTGTTTAAAAAAAACAAAAATGAGTAGGAATACTACGATGTCATCGTAGTTACAAATAAATTTTCTCATTTGTGTATAATTTTAGACGAAACAATTATTTTTCCATGCCAAACGAGACGACTAATGCGATTATAACGAGTAATCGTAGTTTCCTGTCGTAGGAATAATTATATCGTAGACGTTTTAGACAACGTCTAGTAATCTCCAATTACGATACGGTAAAACGTTTGAAAAAAAGAAGAAAAAAAAATGGTATTATTCTGACGCAAGACCGATAACGATTGAACGACGATCATCAAAATAAAAATATTCCACGTTAATCCCATTAACCTGGTATAAAAGATGATTGGAAAAGTAAAGAAACGAATAATAAATGGTTTCCCACGATAAGAATAAATATTTTCATTAGAAAGATGTTATTAATTATGAAAAATAATATACTATCTAAGTATAAAATTATATATTCGATATATTTTTATTCAAATATATCGTAACTTCAGTTAGACTTTTAATTCTAGAGTTAGAAATTTGATTGACGTGAATACCAAAGAGAATAAACAAAAAAAAAAGAAAATGTAAAAGAAAAATCAACAGCAATAGCAAAATAAAGAAATTAAAAGTAATGGTTTCACACGATAAGAATACAAATTTTCAATAGACATTATAATATATGAAAAAAATAATAATAAATATTAAAAGTATTATTTTTAAGTATAAGACTGTTCGATATTTTAATTCAAATATATCATAACTTCAATTAAACCTTTGATTCTAAAATTAGAAATTTGATTGACGCGAATACCAAAGGGAATAAAGAAAAAAAGAAAATGTAAAAGAAAAATAAAAGAAGAAGAAAAATCAACAGCAACAGTAAAATAAAGAAATTAAAAATATATGAATACAAATTTCCAATAGACATTATAATATATAAAAAAAATAATAATAAATAATAAAAGTATTATTTTTAAGTATAAAACTGTTCGATATTTTAATTCAAATATATCATAACTTCAATTAAACCTTTGATTTAAGAATTAGAAATTTGATTGAAGCGGATACCAAAGGGAATAAAATACAAAAAAAAAAAAGAAAATGTAAAATAAAAATAAGAAGAAGAATCAACATCATCATCATCATCATCATCAGTAACAGCAGCAGCACCAGCAGAAGTAGCAGAAGTAGCAGAAGTAACAGAAGCATGAGGAATAACTAAGGCGGCAGAAGAGGTGGCTACAAACGTTGGTTAGCCGAACGGAAAGAACGAAGATAAAGAACAACGATGCGTGAAGATCTCTTGCTGTCAGTCGGTGGTCAACCGTCCCGAAGGAAGGACGTTGGGTGTGCTTGCGTGCTTTTAAATTACGATTTCTCTACCTTATATTTCTTCCTTGGCAACTATAAAAACGACAACAGTAAAGAACAATAAGAAAGAAGAGCAAAACAAAAATTCAAAATTCTTTCGAACTTTTTTAATCTAATCTAATATATTTTTCAATATAAATAATTATATTTTTAATATAAATAAATAACAATTATAATTATCTCCGCGGGGGTACGGAAATATTATTAATTTTGAATTTCGTAAGAATTTTTTGGGTGACAATTCGATAAGAGAATTTACAAGAAGAAGATAGATAGATATAAACAAAATTAATGAATCTATTATCTACTCGAGATGAAAATGTATAAATCGTTAATTCGAAGAACCCTTTCTCTGAATATTTAACGGTAACATTGGACATACGAAATAAGAAGAAAGAGAGAGAAAGAGAGAGAGAGAAAAAAAAGCATATCAGTGGCCTTGTGCACAAACACCATGAAACTCGCGTAATCGAATCGGCCGACTTACGGTTGTTCTCCCGCGCTCATGGAATTTAAGTCGAGTTTAAGTCCGAAGTTTTGAGTTCGAGTATTATAAACCGAAACCGAAGTTAAATACGAGCTTGTGCCAGCTAAAGCAAACAACTTACCTATATACCTTAACGAAGAATCCACTCCCTCGTATATGTGTGTCGTATACATATATGTCTTGGAGAAGATTAAAGAGGACGTACCACGATTTGAGTGTTATAACAATGAATATAATTCATAATGTTGTCACGTTATTTCATTCGCGTTAAATTAAAAACGAATTAATATCGTACGATTTATTGTTAATTGAAAATAATTTTAATTTCAAAATTTTGGTGTTCTTTTATTCGTTATTTTTCTAAGTTATTTGACGATAAAATAAATTCGATAAAAGTATAGATACTATATATATATATTAAAAAGACAAGAATATTATTTTTTGAAAAACAACAAGAAAAAATGGCTTCCATGTGTGGTAGCAGTAAAAGTCATCCTGCTTTGACTACCAGCAGCTATTACAGGAGTGGTGCTTATCCTTATCAAGTAAGTTTATTTTATATTTCTTCTTGATTTTTTTTTTTTAATGATTCATTCTCGTATCGTAGGACACTTGAAATATTTAGAAATCGTGTACGACGTGATTAGAATGAAATGTTATTTATGTATGATATTATGGTGAATCAAAAGTTCGTACGTTTTTTTCTTTTCTTGTATTATTAATATTTCACTAGCATATATGAAAGTAATTTTAATTGGCTTTGAAACAATTGTACTATATGAAACAATGCAATAAACTCACGGTGAACTTTTCGGTTCAACCTAATAAAAGAAAAAGAAGAAGAAAAGGAAGGTAGAGTTAGAACGTGATAGAAAAAAAGTATTCGAAGATTAGAATCGATTAGTATTGCAAGGAAAATAAGAAGTGTGTCTGTGTGTGTGTGTGTGTGTTTTTTTTTCTTTTTTCCTCAAAAACGGTACTTCTTCTCCGAGTGAAATAATTAAATCGCGTAAACGTGACTACGAAACTCGTTTCTACGGGCAACAACCATTAATAATTTATTATGAGAAACGCGACGTAAATTGTTCGCGTGAACGCCTACGTAGTATGTAATATATGTATATACATATATATAAAAGTACGTACATACGTATGTATATATTATATAGTTACGTATTTACATACAGAAGAAGAATCCTTCTTCTTTCATTTCCCAACTCATTGGTTGGTGTAAACTTTTTAACGTAATTCTTATCTCTCATCGTATATTTTTAAAATTTCGTTTAAATAAAACAAACCACCATTCAATTCTTTATTTTGATTTTTAATTCTAATTATATATCTTTAATCCTAACTTTTTTTATTTTAATAACATTTAATCATATATATTA